TGATATCTTGATAATGGTTGTAGTAACTATATGACCGGTAATGATAATATTTTTGTGAACATGGACATCATTTCTAATTCTCAAGTAAGGATGAGAAATGGTGTCATGGTTCAAGCAAAAGGAAAGGAAACCATTGCTATTGAAACAAAGAAAGGAACTAGATGCATCCAAGATGTCTTGTTAGTACCGGACTTGAAACAAAATTTGTTGAGTGTTGGTTAACTTGTAGAGCTTGAGTATTTCGTGGTGTTTGAGGATANTGGTTCAAGCAAAAGGAAAGGAAACCATTGCTATTGAAACAAAGAAAGGAACTAGATGCATCCAAGATGTCTTGTTAGTACCGGACTTGAAACAAAATTTGTGGAGTGTTGGTTAACTTGTAGAGCTTGAGTATTTTGTGGTGTTTGAGGATAACTCTTGCATGATCTATGATTGTGGAGAGAAAAAAAAATTTATAGCGAAAATTGAGATGGAGAAAAATAGAATTTTTCCTTTTATTTTTTGGTATTAAAACAATGTTTTTTTAAAGATAGAAGTTGTTGATAATTCCTGGCTTTGGCATAGAAGATTTGGGCACTAGAACTTCCAAAGCTTGAAGATTCTACAATAAAAAAACATGGTTTATGGATTGCCATCTATACAAGAAGTTAAAGAAGTTTTTGAAGGATGTGCACTTGGAAAGCATCATCGAAATCCTTTTCCAAAAGAAAAATTTTGGAGAGCCAAGTTACTGTTGGAGCTTGTTCACGCCGATGTATGAGGACCATCAAGAACACTTTTTCATGGAGGTAACAAATACTTCATAATCTTTGTTAATGATTTTTCAATAATGACTTGGGTTTATTTTTTGAGACAAAAATTCAAAATTTTTTGAGTATTCGAGAAGTTTCAAAAGTTTGCTAAAAGGCAAAGTGGATACTACATTAAGTTGGTAAGAAGCGATAGAGGTGGTGAGTAAAACTCTACTGAATTTAATAGTTTTGTGAAGACATTGGTATGGAGAGACAATTGACGGTTGGGTATACTCCACAACAAAATGGAGTGGCTGAAAGAAATAATAGAACTATTGTTGAGATGGTTAAATTGATGGTTTATAAGAAGGGTTACCTAAATCATTTTTGGGCCGAAGCGGTATACACGACGGTTTACTTGATGAATAGATGTCCAACAAAAGCTTTGGAAAACCTTACTCCGATTGAAGCATGGTGGGGAAGGAAGTCATCGGTGAACCACTTAAAGGTTTTTAGGTGCATTTGTTTTGCATATGTGCCTAAAGAAGTGAGGTAAAAGTTTGATAAAAGTAGTGAAAAATGTATTTTTGTGGGTTATAGCTCTAAATCTAAAGGTTATAGACTCTTTAGTTTAAAGAGAAACACAATAATTATTTGTAGAGACGTGCTCTTTAATGAGAAAGACTCTTGGAATTGGAAAGAAAAGAATATTCAAAATCAAGTGGTTGTAGCAAATGAAGATTATGGAAGCTTTGAGCATGGAAATAAAAATGAAGAAGTNTTGAGAAGAATTATGGAAGATATTGGTGAAAAGCAAGGTGAAGCAACTCTAATCTTGTGTGATAATAAATCAGCTATTGCCATGACAAAGAATCTCATCAATCATAGCCAAACTAAACACATTACAATTAAGCATCACTTTATTCGAGAAGGTGTGGAAATGAAGAGATTTAAGTTANAACTCCAAGGAAAATGAGAAGTCTTAGTGATGTGCATGCTAGATGCAATTTTTATGTGGTTGAACCCAAAAGTTTTGAAGAAGCCATCAAAGAAGATGCTTAGAAGAAAGTAATGGAAGATGAAATTCTTGTGATTGAGAAAAATAACACTTGGGAGCTGGTGGAAAAGCAAAGAATAAAGAGGTCATTGGGGTAAAGTGGATTTACAAAACAAAGTTTCATTTGGATGGCTCAATTCAAAAAAAATAAATAAAGAAAGGCTTGTAGCAAAAGAGTATTCACAACAACCCGGTGTCAATTACCCAGAGACTTTTGCTCCGGTTGTTCGACTTAATACAATAAGGCTTCTTAGTGCTCTTTCTTCACAAAGGGGTTGGTTTTTTCATCAATTAGATGTAAAAATCAGCATTCTTGAATGGTGTGTTGAAAGAAGAAGTTTATGTAGAGCAACCTCAAGGCTTTGCAGTCAACGGTGAAGAAGGAAAAGTGTACAAGCTAAAAAATGGATTTGTACGAGCTGGAACAAGGACCTCGAGCGTGGTATAGTGAGATTGATTCGTACTTCAATGCAAACGGATTTCAAAGAAGTAAAAGTGAGCCAAACTTGTACATCAAAGTGCAAGGTAATACCTGTATTCTCATTATGTCACTTTATGTTGATGACTTCGTTTTTATCGGGAATGATAAAAAAATGATTGAAGATTTTAAAAGTGAGATGATGAAAAGATATGAAATGTGTGATTTGTGACTTCTACATTACTTCTTGGGCATTAAAATTTATCAACACGAAAATGGAGTTTTTATTTGCCAAAGAAAATATGCAAAAATTCTTCTTGAAAAATTTAAAATGTGAAGTTGCATATCGGTCTTTTGGTTGTGAATGAAAAATTCTTAAAAGATGATAAAACTGAAGAAGTTGAAGCATCATTTTTATAAAAGTTTGGTTGGAAGTCTTTTGTACATGATAGGTCAAAGGCTAGACATCATGTATACTACAAGTTTATTATTTCGGTTCATGCACAAACCAAGCCAAATTCATTTTGGGGGCAATGAAGAGAGTGTTGAGATATATTCAAGGAACACTTGATTTTGGGATTATGTTTGGAAGGAAAGTTGATATCAAGTTACTTAGATTTTGTAATCGTGATTGGGCCGGAAACATTGATGATATGAGAAGCACTTCGGCCTATGCATTCTCACTTGGTTCCTGTGTAATTTTATGGGTGTCAATGAAGCAGCAAAGTGTGGCACAATCATCAGCTGAAGTTGAAAATATTTTAACATCATTGGCTACTTATCAAGTAATATGGTTGAGAAGAATTATGGAAGATATTGGTGAAAAGCAAGGTGAAGCAACTCTAATCTTGTGTGATAATAAATCAGCTATTGCCATGACAAAGAATCTCATCAATCATAGCCAAACTAAGCACATTACAATTAAGCATCACTTTATTCGAGAAGGTGTGGAAATGAAGAGATTTAAGTCAAATATTGTAACACTGAAGATCAAGTGGCGGACATTTTTACCAAATTACTTTCTAAAGATAAGTTTGAGTTTCTAAGAGACATGCTGAGAATACAACAACAAAACCTTAAGGGAGAGTGTTAAAAATAGCATATTAGATAATACTTAGTTATTAAGTTTATATAATTAGCTTGGGAATATAAGTGGTCGAGTCTTGCATCTTGTCATGTGGTTAATGTTCTAGGAAAATGAGTGGTTAAGATATATCTTGCAACCTATATGTATGTTGAAAATATGAAATATATGTATGAAAAATTATTCCAAAAGACCAAGTTATATTGTCTTTGTTTTATCTATCACAAATATACAAAGGGTACGATATGTATATTGTTGAAATAAATTTATCCATCTTTTATTACAATATATTTTTGCACTAATATTCTTATAGGTACCTTCCTACTCTAAAATAAGATGTGCGTAATCAAGCTCGTCTGAAAAATTCAATTAAGTAAAGGTTACTTAATGGAGGAATGCATCTACTCGTGCTATGTATTTCGATGATATTGAAACCAAATCAAACATTAAGGTTGCAAGCCAACAGTGCTCCCACTAACAAATTGCAGCAATGTGACATATTCCGAAGATGTTTACAATAGCATTTTTCCGTTGGACTTTCCGTCGCTGCTGGATTTGCCAGGCCCATTCGACGCAAAACTCTTTTTTTAGTGGTGATATCAAAGTTGGGCACAGACACATATACATTTAGGAAAATGTTATTTGGACATAATTTGTAGACCTAATATGGAGATCTAATGTTGTACAACCATTAGATTGACTGTAAGTTCTATTTAACATTGGAACTCATAATTAATCCAACGACTGTATTGAAGTCACATTATTAGATCATCAAATTCGGTCCCCAAATAAGATCCTTGCTCATACATTTATATCCAACAAGCTAAATCAACGATGTAAGATAGAAAGTTTGATCCTAACCTTTGGCTCGGAGTTCATTTAAGAGGTTTTTATAGTATCTAATTCCTTCTTCGTTCACACCTCCACTTAGCTTGCCACCTTCGAGTACAGAATGTAGAATAATCGGTATCAAATAAAACAAGTAAACAAAAAATATGCCTGATCCTTCTATTGAAATAGAATAATTTATCAATTTTATGAGAGACGCTTCAATTTCAATGAAAGTGATCATCTTACGCGGTAAGAGTCGGGGCCATGAGATTGAGAATCGATAAGCATCGAGACCCATTTGTTCCATCAGCCTCACGTCTTCCTGGTTCAAAATTTAAAAACCATGACTACTATAGCAAATACTGTGAATTTATCTAGTTTGTTTTTCTTTTTCTCATCATGAAGACACACTTTTTCAATCTTGACTATAATGCAAACTTGTGATGCTCACAATCACTTGTAAACCGTGCTCATCAAATCAAACAATACATTTCTTTTAAGACCCAAACTTGGAGCATCAAGATATTACCCTTAAAACGGTACCATTGAAACTACCTAGGCTGGTTTAACTTTACCGATTATCTTATTATTGAAACTGTTTCTGACTTGTTGATGTGTAAATACTTAAGTTATATGTATAACTGTTGACAAATCAGCCATATATCTACAGTAAAAATCCTTGAGAAAAAACTTTTGAACTTAATTTCTGATTCGATGTGTCCAATACTACCATTTAAGCCGGCCCAATAGAAATACCCTTCAAAATTACAACGCCTACTTTGTATTTCCAACAGTTGTGAGGTCAATGAGCCAAAGAACATCTCAGTTTTAACACCATTTGAGGGCTAAACACAAATGGCCAAATTTAAGATGGAATTGTTAACCAAAAAATGTTGGCTTGCATTGCACCTTGTATCGATGATAAGAATCAGTGGCCATGTCTCCATTACTACCATCCCTTATCTTACCTGTGATTTAACGGCAAACTATTTCAAGAAATGGACGAGGGATGTAATTGCAATTGCACATATTCTTAAAGTAAAGCACAAAGAGAATAAACTGTAGACCCTCGGTACATATTTTCGAAATGAATGGTGGGAATGATAGTGTAATACATTGTGTGTGTGTGTGTGAGAGAGAGAGAGAGACCCGGGTATCTCTGTGTGAAAGTATCCCATATACTTGGGCCTTTACCACCTTCATTAGCCGCTCCTTCAGTCTACAGAAAACCAAAACAAAATAAAGAAGTAAAACATAAAAAAATAAGTATATATATTACGCTAGTAAATCTCTCATAAAAGAAGTTCGAAGTTTATGAGGATAAGACTTTGGTGCCCCAAAAGAATTGCATCACACCAAAAACAATTTATGGATATAGATTTTCAATTGTTTCATTTTGTAGTCATTAATCAGGAAAATAATAAATAAGAAACTTTACAACATATTACATTCTCATTAGTTAACAACAAAGGTATCAGAAAGCTCTTGAAAAAGGACGAACCTGATAAGCAGATGTAGATGCCCCAAAGACGAAGCCTGCTGGGAAACTGCTACGGTTAAGCAACTTCAAGCTAAAAGTTGGTGTTAAAGCTTCAACAATGGATTTCACTGAGAAAGCAAAAACCACTAACCCTAAAAGGAGATGACCTTGAATACTCATGACTGATTTTGTTAACTAACATTAGCTTTGATCATCATGGTTTTATACATGAGTAATGCTAGATGGACTTAAAAATTAGACTTGATAATCTCAACTATTGAATAAGTAGTGTGTCCTAATAAATGCTGGAACTCACAATAAAATCAATGGTTGAAATTATCAAGTCTAATTTTTAAGTCCATATAACATTGCTCTTTATACATGCATCAGCAACGCATATTCATTCTTNGATCATCATGGTTTTATACATGAGTAATGCTAGATGGACTTAAAAATTAGACTTGATAATCTCAACTATTGAATAAGTAGTGTGTCCTAATAAATGCTGGAACTCACAATAAAATCAATGGTTGAGATTATCAAGTCTAATTTTTAAGTCCATATAACATTGCTCTTTATAAATGCATCAGCAACGCATATTCATTCTTTTTCATGCCCATGCAAGCCACGCCCTACAAAACAAGCTTTGTACGCTAGACTTGTGCGATGAATGGTCTATCTGCCAAGACACTCATTTTGTGTTGGCGTATTTTAATGAAAAGCAGTTTTTGAAATTATTTCCAATTGTTTTCATAGATCGATTCTCATTCTCGAAGTAATAGTTTTTTATAATCGAATTTAGTGATCGTGTTTCATCTGTAACAAGTTTTTATATTAAATTAAGGAATGTATTTCTCTTTTGACACCGAATTTTTTTTATNATGGTCTATCTGCCAAGACACTCATTTTGTGTTGGCGTATTTTAATGAAAAGCAGTTTTTGAAATTATTTCCAATTGTTTTCATAGATCGATTCTCATTCTCGAAGTAATAGTTTTTTATAATCGAATTTATTGATCGTGTTTCATCTGTAACAAGTTTTTATATTAAATTAAGGAATGTATTTCTCTTTTGACACCGAAATTTTTTTTTTTTTTTGGGAAACATACATATACTGGACTCTGGAGTATACTGGTTGTAAACCAAAATGTACAACTAGGAGGTGCTCTCCAAATAAGACAATGGGAATTACAGCTGTAACTAATAATGAGCCCAAATTTGGTTGGGCGTAAACCGAGAAAGTCCGAAAAAACATCCAACTGGAGCCGGAGTCAAGCAAGGTTGTAAATCAACAAGAGATCATGAGGCTGCAAGTCAACACGGAGTCATGAGGCCGCAAGTCAACACGGAGTCATGAGAAGCCAAAACTCCAAAGGCCAACGCCCAAGGGGGCGCCGCTCATGGCCAGGCCCACCTGGTTCTTCCTCCTTTGTCCTCCCAACTCCAATGCAAGTCCAAGCCTACTCCGATCCAAGCTCAAAGTCAAGACCAAGTTCAGTCCAACTCAGGATTTTCCTTCAATTGACTAGGAGCACGAGAGCNAATGAAGGACAAATTCAAACGGTGATGAGCAAAAAAAGTAAAACTTTTGAATTTTAGAGAAAAGAGTTTTAAAAAGAAGTAAACTAAATAACAGTAATTAAAAAAAATCGGTTAATCATCAAANTGACTAGGAGCACGAGAGCGAGAATGTCGGGATGGAGATTTAAACCTATAATGATTGTACTTACCAAAATAGTGGAGGATCTCTTACTCACGTCACCGCCTCACCCTAACTATATAATATACGCCCTCTCAACATTGAGGGCACGCCTTCGAAGCCTCTACACCTCCCCGTATACACCCTTCTCTCTCTTTCTCTAAGCACTGTAATAGTCCAAGAGCATACTCTCTGGGTGACATTATTTATCAATAAAAAACTCAGGCCACCGCAGCCGTTCTCGAGAGTGGAGTAGGTCACCTGGACCGAACCACTATAAATCTCTGTGTTGACTCATTATTTACTGCTTTATCATTAATTGCTTGTTTATTCTTCATTGACTACACCCGTCCATATTCTTGATTGTTGATTTTGCACAACACCGATTCGTGCATCATCAATTTAGCGTCGTTTGTGAAAAATGATTTATTTTTATACTCTCTCTTTTAATCCATCACAATCACAACCCGATCAATGAGCCAACATTCAAGAGACAACAACTAGGCTCACTGGGAGGACGCTTTGCCTCTCTTCGCACCGTCTGAACCATCTACTACTGCGACTTCCACCGGGCAACAACAACAGCTCCTCCAAACCATGCAGCTACTGGTGAACCAAAACCAGTAGATCATCCAACTCATGCTTGCCCAAAGGGGCGTCACCCCTCACCCTGTAGGAGGAGCTCCACTCCCTCCAACAAGAGAGGAGCAAAGTACTATCTTTTTTGAGTGCAAGACAGCCCCCCACCATGGGGCCCCTCGCTAGAACATTGCAAAGCCACGTCAGGGCGCCCCTCGCCCAACAATCCCTCCTCAGCAAGTAGGGAGTTCACGAGTTCCCCCTACTTATGAAGCAGTGCAGGAGAACGAAGACAAAGAAAGCCAATATGAAGACCATGAAAGCCAGTACCATCTCTTGACTGAGGATGTCCCCAATCATTTGGACGAGAAGATTAAGGGGGTGCAAAACCAACTTGGTGATGCTCTTAATGCCATCAAGGTGAGGCGCCCGAAACTGTAGACTACTTGGTAAGATGCACTAATACGCCTTTTATTGCTGATATTACCAATTACCCTCTACCTTTGAAATTCAAGATGCCCACCATCGAGATCTTTGATGGCACCAAAGACCCCCTCGATCATCTTGACACATATATGTCCCTCATGCAACTCCACAACGTGCCTGAGGAGATTATGTATAGAGCCTTCTCTACCACCTTGAAGGGGTCTGCTCGCTAGTGGTTCTCCAAGATTAGACCCTCCTCCATTCGTTCTTTTGCAAAACTCAATAGGTCATTCGTCTTCCACTTCATTGGTGAACGCTGAAATCAAAAATCAGTGACCCACCTGCTTACATATAGGACAGGAATGAAAGCCTCAAAGACTACCTTGCTCGTTTCAATGAGGAGATGCTCCAGATTGAGGAGCCAGATGATAAGGTAGCCTTGGCTGCCTTTATCGCTGGTCTTCACACCTCCAGTTTCATGTTCTCTGTACTTAAGAAGCCATCCTCCAACATGCCCGAGTTGCTGTCTAGGGCACAGGAATACATGAACGCCAAGGATGTCACCAAGGCCAAACGAGGTGAGTTCTCCCATGGGGGCGAGAAAAGGAAGGACGCCTGCGAAGACAGGCGGGAGGTGGAGAACAAGAAAAAGAGAGCTGAAAGAGTCTCTGTCAAGGACTGTCTTGGTCCGTACCCCCTGAGAGAATAACAGCCTTTCACGCCACTCAACGCCTAGGTGGAGCACATCCTATTCCAGACCGCAAAAATCACAGTAGGTATTGTCACTTCCACCGCAACCATGGCTATGATACTGATGACTGCTATGAGCTCAAGAGGTAGATCGAAGAGCTCATATAGCGTGGCCAGTTGAGACAGTACGTTGCTGGTAGAGGACAAGCCCCATCACCTGGCCGGGACCAGGATGACAGAGAACGCCAGCAATCCCTTGAAGCAATCCAGACGATTTCCTGAGGGCCAGGAAGAGGATACGACTCCAACTCAACTTGGGAAACATTGGCTCACTTATGGGACATCGAACGCCTGAAGATTTCATCTATCTTTTATTGTTTTAGTTGATTTATTTTGTTATTCATTATTTTATGAAATAAAACTTTACGAAGATTATTATGTTCATAACTGTCTTGCTTTTATTTCAAACAACTTATGACCTAACAAAAAGGTAGAAAAAAAGACAAAAGGCGCACAGCAGCAGCCGCCCAGCCTCAGGCTTCCAGTACCAAGAGCCTAGCACTAGACGTTTATCACTAGACGCCCAGCAGCAGGCGCCCAACACGGGGGGTCTCGCCCTCTCCATCTCGGGCACCCCCCATGATGTTGCCTAGACAGTGGGTCTCGTTCTCTCCACCTTAGGCACCCCTATGATGCCGTTAGACGAGCTCTACACCTTGGGAGCCTCCCATGATGCCTAGACTATGGGTCTCGCCCCCTCTCACCAGGTGTCCAACACCTCAGACGCCCAGCTCCTCGACGCCATCCTCATCTCCATATAATAAGCCTCTGTCCTAGTAACTATCTCAAGTGCTACTCGAAGGTCAGCCTCTAGATGGGCATCACTCTCGTGCGCTAGCCTTAACTACTCAGTGGCATCCTCTCATGCTTGCCGCTCGAGCCCTACTGCTCCGGGGCATTCTATCGTGCCTGCCACTCGAGCCCTACTTGCTCCGAGACATCCTCTCATGCCTATTGCCTGAACCCTATTGCTCGGTGGCATCTTCTCATGCCTGCCACCCGAGTCCTACTTGCTTCGCGGCATCCTCTCGTGCCTACCGCCTAAGCCTTATTACTCTGTGGCATCTTTTTGTGCCTGCCACCCGAGCCCTACTTGCTCCGTGGCATCCCTTCGTGCCTGCCGCTCGAACTCTAACTGCTCTTCAACAGCCCCTGTGTTTACCTTTATGATATCCCCTGGGGCCACATACCTTCAAAGCCACTCCTTGATTGAAAACAAGTCAAAGCATGCACACTAAGCCATATGGAGTTGCAGTCCTAGTGGGAGACCGCACATGAGCCTCAACTCCTATAACAATACAACAGCTAGCTCGGGTACACTCATGAGTTTTGGCCTTGGAAGGAGCGGGGGCACCACCGGATCTCGGTCTCGGGAAACAGTCTGGCCATCGGACCTTGATCGAGAAGCACCGGGGGCATCAAACCTCGCTCTCTTGGGAGGAGGCGAAGATACCACCCTAAAAACACAAGAGAGTCTCCATCATCACCCTGTCAACAGGGCGCCTATGATTATAGACAAGGTCAGTCAATGACCAAACACTAGAGAGGCGCTTCCCATAGCAAGACTCAAGGTGTCCCCCAAGCACAATAGTACCCTAAACATCTTGGCGTCGCCCAAGGCATCCTATCAATATCTTGGCATCGTCCAAGGAGCCTGTCTAACCTCGGGTGTCTTCCAATATGCCTGCCCACCTACCTGGCGCCCGTCTGCTTGATGCCCGCCTACT